CAGAACCTGCTGGTCCTGCATTGAATGCTGGGAAGCCTCTTCCCAGAGGGCAGCAGGGAGAACAGGGAGAACAGTCCGCTTCTTCCTGAAGTCCACCATGATCTCCTTGGTCTTCTCCACCTTCAGGATCAGGCTGTTATCTCTGCTCCACCAGCTGCTCCACCTCCTCTCTGTAGTCCAGGTCGTTGTCGTCTCTGATGAGGCCCACCACCGTGGTGTCGTCTGCAAACTTCGCCATGTGATCGGTGGTGAACCTGGGGACGCAGTCGTGCGTCATCAGGGTGAACGGCAGGGGGCTCAGGACCATCAGTCTGATCTTCATCACTCTCACTATCATCACCATCAGACTGATGAAGATCAGACTGATGATGATGATGATCAGACCTTCATCCCATTAGGGAGATCTTCCTCCATCAGTGGATCAACCTGTGCAGATTGGACTCACCTGGTTAACTGATAGGTAGATACATGACATGGAGATGACTTGTTGACTCCACATTGCCCATGTCTGCCTCGCCCAGAGGTCTGTGTCCTCCTCTCCTGCCATAGGCGGCCGGGGCCACAGGCGGCCTGGACCACAGGCGGCCTGGACCACAGGCGGCCCGGGCCACAGGCGGCCGGGGTCACAGGCGGCCGGGGCCAGAGGCGGCCGGGTGTCACAGGCGGCTACGCTCTACCCCTTCTATTCATTCTAGCTCATCTGAATCGTTCATCTGGAGAGCGAGATCATCTTTAGCAGCACTAGACATCTTCCAGGCATGAGAGGAAAACTAGCAGCAGTTCAGCGGACAGGATGGATGAACGGTAGCCGGCGCGCGCTGATGACATCATACACACGCCGCTTTGTTTTTAAAAGATATAAATATAAAATCTAATGGCCGATGTTTGGGGGACAGTGATTGGCCTCCATGTTCTGAATGCTGGCGTTCCATAAAGAATAAATGATGAACAGTTTAGTTTGTGCTTCCAGTCGTTGCCCAGAGGAAGACGTTACTGGATATAACCTAACGGAATATCTTCAGAATGGCTCAAAATGACACTTAACTCATATGGGTGAGTAGAACATGATGGAATAACGGAAAATCAAGAACCAATGGAAAAATAACGGTGTTCCCCTTTAAGTAGTTTTTGGAGAAAATACTTTTTCACTTTTACTTGTGTAAAGAGGTCAAGTTGATACTTTAACTTTTCCCAGAGTGTTTTTAAACTGCAGGATCTATACTTCTACTAGAGATGTCCCGATCCAGGTTTTTGCACTTCCGATCCGATACCGATATTGTTTTTGGACTTCCGATCCGATACCGATACTGGCCGATACCAGCCTATCCGAGCATGTATTTAGGTTTAAGTTAATGTATTTAGCCTTAGTTGTAAGACTCATGTTGAAATGGGTTTTAGTACTCTTGATAACATCTAGCCAGCTAAATTAGGTGAGATTGAATAAAACACAATGCTTGGTAACAACAAACTTACCTGTTTATTAAGAGATAAACACAAACTGGACAAAATTATGAATAGCAATCTGAAATTGCACAGTGAACAGTAAAACCGTAAACAGTTAAAGGTGCAAGTATTACTGTAAGTTTTAATAAAAATGCAAAACAGGGAAACACTGGCGCAAAATAGTGGAATGGATCGTTTCAATCGGCGAAACTGGAAAATACGGACCGGATTTTAAAAAAAAAACTGGATCGGCAGTCTGGATCGGCATTTTACATGCTTTGCCGATACGCATTTTTTTGCCAATATCGGCATCCCGATCCGATACGTGGATTGGATCGGGACAAGCCTAACTTCTACTGAAGTAACAAACGTTTGAACTTTAGACATCGCTGCTCTGAGGTCTTCCATCATTTGTTATTCAGGTTTGTTTTATCGCCACTAGAGTTCAGCAGAGCACCAAACTGTGATGTTTCAAAGAAAGAAAATGAAAATTAGGATTTTTTGACATTTGCTTCCTTTAATCAGATAAAAAACTACACTCTATGGGCCGGATTTATCAAGATCCAATTTTGCGTGCAGTAATTTGCGCTCGCAAACTGGAATTTTGCGCGAGGGGCTGAACCATGGTTTGCGGGTGATTTAACAAGAGCGATTGCGTAACTGGTGGCAGGTGCAAAACTGTTGGATACGCCCTATTTAAATGATGGTTTTGCGCGTTTTGTGGTTTGCGGCATGGCGAGTTTGGACAGCAGAAAGCGCAAAAGGAAATTCGACCCCATGGAAATGGAGGTGTTGGTGGATGAAGCCAACAAACATTTAAGTGAGCTACAGCAAAGAAGTGTGACTGTCACACAGAGGAACGCTATATGTGAACAAATCTGTAATAAAGTAAACGCTGTTGGTGAAACCTTGCGAACAGTGGATGAAGTAAAAAGAAGATACCAGGATATTAGAAGGCGAACCAAAGAAAAACTGGCATATAACAAAACATCTGCGAACAAAACAGGAGGGGGCACAGTAGATGAGATGCCTCTGACCAGCATTGAGGAACAAGTACAGCTGACGCTCTGTGAGAAGCAAATCACTGGAATCGCAGCTTCAAAATGGCAATGCTGGATAAACGATATGTTTTGATGATCGTTTCCTCGTTCATTCCAAAAATATTCACACGGAATGAAAAAATGCGTTCTCTGCGTCTCCTTGCTTCATTTCGATGTCTCCTTCTTGCGGCAATAACCGCTGCCATGTGTGCGCAATTACGCGTACAGACCATTTGCACCTTCTTTTGAAACGTGTTAAATATAGAATCAGATACCGTTAGCAAACTTGCTTTCAGGTTTAATAAATCACTTTGCGAGTGCTAAATTAATATATTTACATGTTCTCCTCCCACAAGACGCACTTTTGCGTGTAAACGCCCCATATTGCATATTCATTGCAGAAAAAGTACTAAATGGATAAGAGGCGCTATTTAGCACGTTTTAAAGACCAAATCCTTTTAGCACGCTGTTGATAGATCAGTTTGTACATTTTTTAGCATGCGCAGTGAAATAGCTCACGTTTTAATACACGCAAACCTTTGATAGATCCGGCCCTATGTGGGATATTTTCATTTTAACAGTTTTTATTTCTTGTTAGGATCAAAAAAAGAGTAAATGACATGTCCAAATGTACAGGGATATAATTCAGGAGAAGATCAGATTTTCTGGTTTTCTGCTGCTGGAGATGTTTCACACTGTTCAATTTTAGAGCAGCGTTGCCCCCTTCTGGCCACAGGCTGAAATGACAGCATCAGGTCATCAGATCATGGACCAGTCAGACCCAAACTCCCTGGGGCCCGTCTTCAGGAACAGTCGGCCTGTTCTCTTGCTGCAGCCCGTCCAGAACCGGATCCCCGTTAAGACCGATAGAAGAAACTTTTATATATTTTATATTCCGGACATGAATATGAAAGAAAACACCGGATTTGACCTTTATAGTCTAAACTAATCCTGGTTTTATTTCCACCAGATGAAATCAAGGGCTCTAACTGCACAAATTAACATCAAATTTTGCCATTTCATCATGAAATTCTTCACTGAAATAAGGTGATTTGAGTTTAAAAGTAGAAAAACAAAACATCCTGATTTAGCTGCTAAAAAATCACCTTTTCTCATTTTTTTAACAGTTTAGAAAAAATTCCCTCCAGTTATAATTAGAAACAAAGTGAAACGCAGAGAGAAACAGTCAAACTTCTTGCGTCGGTGCAATGAAAGAGGTTCAGGTGGCTCAGCGGCGCCCCCTACAGAGGGAGAGGCTCAGTGTCGCTGTCTGCCTCACTGACGGAGCTCTGCGATGAGTAGTGGACCAGAGTCGACATAGGCCTGTCCTGTTCGGAGCCACCAGAGGCTGCAGGGCAGAAGAAGAAGGTCATGAGGGACTTGTTGTTTTATCAATTTAATTTGCGAATGTGTGCAGAGAGTTGAGTCTCTGTACGAGAATCTGCAGCCGGTGGGCCTGCAAGTCTGCACTCAGGGCAGTAAACCCAGATATTACACATCCTCTCTACACATCTGCAGATCTCCGAAATGCAAAAATCTCATGTAAAGAGAACCAACCGAGGTTGACTGGTAACAAATGATGTGCCTGTGTTTCTGGCAGTAGAAGCTAAAATACTTCAGGCTTCAGTGTCTCTCTCTGTATTTATTGATCTACATATTTGTAGATCTGAATACAGATGTGTGGATTATATTGCAACAATAAAGCCCTCATAGAAGACGACTACATGAAGTCATCTGCGGTACCGCTGGGTTCTGGATATGTCTGAACGAACCCGGACCTCTGGTTCCTACCTGAGTGACTGCCCTGCAGGCTCTGAGGAGGGGGGGCTGCATCGGCCTCCTCCCCTGGGGATGCAGTTGGCCTCTGGGGGACGGAGACCCTGATCTTCTCCTTTGTCCTTCCTGCAGAGAGCGGCGGCAGCAGCACAGAACCGTAAACCACAGAAGAAGAACAGAAACGTTCCTGGGCTGTCAGACCTCACCGTCTCTAAGTCTGGCCTCTGTGTTCTGGAGCTGCTGGGCGTTTGAGCGTCCTTTGAAGATCTGTCCTTCCTGTAAACGACCAAAATCATCAGAACTCATGGACCTGATTGATGGAACCTGGTTCTGCTGGTGGCAGCATCATGCTGGGGGGGTGGTGAGGGATGTAGAACAATTGCTGGTTCCTATGAATTACATAACATGGGAACAACCAAACACCTTGCAACTGGGGGGCGGGGGCCCTCTGGACCCCTCTAGATTCCCCACCATTTACCCTGGGTTCCCTAACCTCGGTTCCCCACCATCTACCCTGGGTTCCCCACCATCTACCCTGGGTTCCCCACCATCTACCCTGGGTTCTCGACCATCTACCCTGGGTTCCCCACCATCTACCCTGGGTTCCCCACCATCTACCCTGGGTTCCCCACCATCCACCCTCGGTTGCCCACCATCTACCCTGGGTTCTCGACCATCTACCCTGGGTTCCCCACCATCTACCCTGGGTTCCCCACCATCTACACTGGGTTCCCCACCATCTACCCTCGGTTGCCCACCATCTACCCTGGGTTCTCGACCATCTACCCTGGGTTCCCCACCATCTACCCTGGGTTCCCCACCATCGACCCTGGGTTCCCCACCATCGACCCTGGGTTCCCCACCATTTGCTCTTGGTTGCGGGGAACCAAAGTTACAGCGTGGAATGTTTTATAAATGAGAACCGAGGTTCTTTGAGGACCCAAACATGTTCTGCTTTGACCAATCAGTGTTCCCTGATCAAGATGTTTCCAGAACCCTTTCAGAACCTACCTGCATCATGTTGGTTCCGTCGGCCCGGTGGAGCAGCCTGGACTGCTGGGTGCTGGAGCCTCGCTGACTCAGAGAGGTGTTGGGTTGGTTCACGCTGCAGCTTCGGGCCGCGGCATCAGAACCGCGCTCGCTGCTCCAAACAAACAGGACGTTCAAAACACAGAGTTCTGGATTAATCGCAAAGTTCTGCCTTTGAAGAGGAGGACAACTCCAGCAGAACCAGAACCCACAATGGTTCAGGAACCCAACGGTCCTACCAGGCAGGACTTCAGGGTTCTGAGGAACCATTCTGGTGACTTTGGGTTCAGAGCTTCACTCCTGAAGGTTTAAACACTTTGGACCAGAACCACACGGTTCCCCGGTTCTGTCCAGTGTGGGAAGGGAACCTCACCTCCTGTAGTTCTGTTGGGTCGGCCCCGGGCTCTGGACAGACTTCTGGGGGTGCGTAGCCTGAAAGAGGGGCACTGTTTCCAGAACCCTGCGGCAGGAAACGGATCAGCGCACAGAAGCAGGGGGTTCTGCTGGAAATAAAAGCGGGTCGACTGACCTTCCAGGAACCTCCTTCATGATGATCCGATCGCAGGACAGGCACTTGAACGGCGGGAGCAGCTGCCTGAAACACAGGAACCACATCCAGAACTTTAGGGTTCCTATTGGGCCACCGGGCCTCAGCCAGAACCTAAGGTTCTGTTGCTCGCTGGAGTCCATTTTTAGCTGATGCTGGAGCAATGAGTGCCGGTACCGCCGGTACCGCTGACAGAGAGGACCTCCGGACCAGAACATGAGCGGGTTCTGAGGATGTTCTGGTCCAACCCATACAGAGAAGATTGAGGAGCTGTAAAGTTATGAATCTAAAAACTCGACCCAATTGTTGGTTCTGGAGTCAGAACGTGGACCCAGTTGGGTTTTCAACAGAACAACAGTCCTGGTTCTGAGGGGAAGTTCTGGATTAAAGTGGACTGGGTTCTGCGGCATCCAACTGGACCTTCAGCTGGAGTCTGAAGCTCAGGTCCTGATGAGGGCAGCAGCCGTTGGACCAGAACCGTGACTCACCTCTTCATGGCGGCAGCATGGTCCTGCTGTGGCGCGCAGTACGCCGGCAGCTTCTCCTGGAAGCTCCTCCAACGCTCCTCCAGCTGCGTCTTCATGGAGTCCAGGTCCTCCTTATTCAGCTGAGGATGACAGAACCTTCAGACCAACCGACGCCGACCGACCAGAACCGGCCAGAACCGGTCCTCCCTTACCCTGCTCTCCATCTCATTGGACAGCTGCTCACGGGCCCGGTGCCAGTCCTCCTCCAGGTCCGACATCTTCTGGAGCAGCTGGTGGTGGAGGAAGATCTGCTGCTCCATGGCCTCCTCGAACTGCAGACTGCTCACTTTGCTCTGCAGAGCAGACCGCTCCGCTTCCTGCAGAGGAGAGGAGGAAGACAAGGAAATAGGAAGCAAGAGGAGGAGTGAGCAGGAAGGAGGAAGGAAAAGGAGGAACAAATAGAACTTGGTGGTCTGGTTCCAGCAGAACCACCTCCTGATGAATGCAGGGAAAACCAAGGAGCAGGTGGAGCAGATCCTCCCGCTGCCACCGGTGGACATCCAGGGATCTTCTAAGGTTCACCTCCCAACACTGAGGTCTGGATCAGAAAGGTCAGAGCAGACTGTTGGGCAGCAGGGGGCGCTCACACTGAGCCTGGTTCTGCTGGAGGTTTCTTCTTGTTCAAAGGGAGGTTTTCCTCTCCACTGTCGCTACAAGCAT